CACAGATCTACAGTATCATCTACTGATACTGGTTATGGCTCAAAAGGGCCACCACTTACGGGCTATTCATGCCCGTGCCACCTCTTGGGTGGCTTAATCTTTATCAATCATCAATCTTCAGAGCCTCAGATTACCCTTCGAGTGCTCATGGCTGTAGCATCTACTCTCGCCTCCGGGTGACGGTAGACGCACATAGCATTTTGTATAAAGTATTACCCGCACCTTTGTTATTAACGTAAATTTCACATGTGTATTTCTATTTTGATTGTGTTTAAGCGAAGTGGATGAGGGGTTCTGTTTTCATTAATTGTTACTTATCATTTTGTGTAAAATTAAAGTCATTTCTTTATATTAAATGTTTGAAGTTTTTATTCTCTTTGGTTTCTACCCGCAGCTCTCACACAATAGAGGTATCAAGCAGTTTTTTTTTTTACTTTGTTTTCTCTTTTTTTATTAATGTGCCATTGACACAAGATCTGCCAGAATAGTTACTGTTCTATTCCAGATTCTCGCCACACTAGTTAGAAGAACTGTAGGGTTGTACCTGGTTCAGTTGTACCATCACTTCCAGAGGTGGTTATGCTTGTCTGAATATGGCCATGGGTGGTGTAATTATGGTAGGTTTAGTGATTATAGGTAATAGTATCGAAGTGTTTATACAGTTGAGGAAGCTAGCTATTAGTAGGTTATCAGGCTGGCGGAGGTCAATATTAAAATTTTATGTTAGTATTAGGTGATTTTTGCTGAGTTTATTACTTAAAATGAAATTTCCGAGGTAGCGTTGAATTTATTTACATCTGTGTTCAGAATTTGTAGACTGCTCCCATTGTAAAACTTGTGTCTGAACCCCTGAATTTGAAATGAAAAAATATATATATTCTCATGCATATATTTTTTCGATGGAAGTTGTATAAAAAAAATAAAAATGCAGATGTTGAATTCACAGAAATTTCAAAGGCATTTGATAAGTGTAACCAAGGAGTGATAGCGCTTAAAATTTGATCAATACAACTAACAGGTAAAGTGGAGCAATGAATTTTAAATTTTCTGATAAACAAATTTCAAAGAGTATTCAATAAAATAAAATGTAATAAATTCAGGTATAGACAAAACTACAAATCACATCTTCGTGTCGTTCTTTGCTGATGATACAAAAATCAGCCTGACAATTTCCTCTGTAGAAAACACTGAAAAACTATAATCTGATGTTAATAAAGTCTTCGACTGGGCAATGGAAGCTTAGGTGATGTTAAACAGTAGAAATTTCCAGGTACTTAGGTATATTGGAATGGTGAACTTAAACATAATACAGGGTACAGAACACAATCAGACCAACCATGGAAGGTAAACAACATGTAAAAGATATGGACATTATGATGTCTGACGACCCGACATTTAGTGAATATAACCTAGCATATATTGCGGCGGCCAGGAAAATAATAGGATGGATTATGAGAACGTTCAAATAAGGGGACCCCACAGCAATGTTAATAGTATAAATCACTGGTGCTGTCCCGTCTTGAGTATTGCTCGGTACTTACTTCTCCTTTCAGAGCAGGAGAGATTTCTGAAATAGAGGAAATACAGAGAACATAAACGGCACGCATAGACACGATAAACCAATTAAATTATTGGACCGCCTAAAAGCTCTCAAAATGTACTCTCTGGAGAGGAGACGAGAGAGATAGCAAAAAGTATATACTGGAGTTCCAGGTCCCAAATTTGCCCAGTAAAATAACAAGGTACTGGAGAGAAAATTTCAGAAGGAAATGCAGAATAGAACCAGTGAGGAGTAGAGGTTCCATAGACACAATCGGAGAACACTATCTGAACATCAGAGGTTCAATACCCACCCAGTAAGCATTGGAAATATTGCTGGAACGAAGGTGGACTTCTTCAAGAAACAATTTGATAAGTTCAAGCAAGAAGTGCCGGACCAACCGGGTTGTAGTGGATATGTAGGCCTACAGGCACATGCAAGCAACAGCCTGTTGGACCAAGTTATCACAAGTCGAGCCTGGCTTCAGGCCTACCTTACCTTGAGGTTACCTTGAGGTGCTTCCGGGGCTTAGCGTCCCCGCGGCCCGGTCGTCGACCAGGCCTCCTCGTGGAGTAGAAGAACTCCAGAGACCCTCCCCAGATATGCTCCAGTCATAATTCTGAACATAGTTATATTGACTATAAACTAAATACTAACTTAGGTAGATTTGATTAGGTCAATATTTACTTATGATGACATTAACAAGTCAGTATTTGACTTACACATTTTGAAACGTACAGCGCCATGTTTTGATGATAGATTGAATATTGGCGATTATATTCAACATTATATTGACCAGCACATTAACCAGCACAACACTGACCAGCACAACACTGACCAGCACAACATTGACCAGCACAACACTGACCAGCACAACATTGACCAGCACAACACTGACCAGCACAACACTGACCAGCACAACATTGACGAGCACAACATTGACCAGCACAACACTGACCAGCACAACATTGACCAGCACAACATTGACGAGCACAACATTGAGCAGCACATTAACTAGCACAACATTGACCAGCACAACATTGACCAGCACGACATTGACCAGCGCAACATTGACCAGCGCAACATTGACCAGCACAACATTGACCAGCACAACATTGACCAGCACAACACTGACCACCTCAACATTTACCAGCACAACATTGCCCACCACAACAATGACTAGCACAACATTGACCAGCACAACATTGACCAGCACAATGACCACCACAACATTGACCACCACAACATTGACCAGCACATTGACCACCACAACATTGACCAGCACATTGACCACCACAACATTGACCAGCACATTGACCACCACAACATTGACCACCACAACATTGACCAGCACATTGGCCACCACAACATTGACCAGCACATTGACCACCACAACATTGACCAGCACATTGACCACCACAACATTCACCAGCACATTGACCACCACAACATTGACCAGCACATTGACCACCACAACATTGACCAGTACATTAACCACCACAACATTGACCACCACAACATTGACCAGCACGTTGACCACCACAACATTGACCAGCACGACATTGACCAGCGCAACATTGACCAGCGCAACATTGACCAGCACAACATTGACCAATACATTGACCAGCACATTGACCACTACAACAATGACCAGCACATTGACCACCACAATATTGACCACCACAACATTGATCAGCACAACATTGACCACCACAACAATGACCAGCACATTGACCACCACAACATTGACTAGCACATTGACCACCACAACATTGACCAGCACATTGACCACCACAACATTGACCACCACAACACTGACCAGCACATTGACCACCACAACATTGACCAGCACACTGATCACCACAACATTGACCAGCACAACATTGACCACCACAACACTGACCAGCACATTGACCAGCACATTGACCACCACAACATTGACCACCACAACATTGACCACCACAACATTGACCACCACAACATTGACCAGCACATTGACCACCACAACATTGACCAGCACATTGACCACCACAACATTGACCAGCACATTGACCACCACAACATTGACCACCACAACATTGACCACCACAACATTGACCACCACAAAATTGACCAGTACATTGACCAGCGCAACATTGACCACCACAACATTGACCACCACAAAATTGACCACCACAAAATTGACCAGTACATTGACCAGCGCAACATTGACCACCACAACATTGACCAGCGCAACATTGACCAGCACATTGACCACCACAACATTGACCACCACAACATTGACCAGCACATTGACCACCACAACATTGACCACCACAAAATTGACCAGTACATTGACCAGCGCAACATTGACCACCACAACATTGACCAGCGCAACATTGACCAGCACATTGACCACCACAACATTGACCACCACAACATTGACCACTACAGCGTTGACCAGCACGGCGCTGTAGTCGCTCCGTCAAGTCAACCAATACTTCCAACAGAAGTCTGGTGCAACTTTTTGTTTTCAAGTAATATTCCGCGTAGAAACAGCGAGCCTCATATAGCAGCTGCCGCTTGTGTTACCCAGACGGTGGTCTGGGAGCGTCCACTCTACTACCATTCAGTGAGAATATAGTTCTGAAGTTGTAGTTAAAGTTTGTTTGGTGTTTGTATTGAGGCCTATCTACCTCAGGAGGGTTATTGAGGTCTATCTTCCTCTGGAGGGTTATTGAGGCCCATCTTCCCCTGGAGGGTTATTGAGGGCTATCCATCACTGGAGGGTTATTGAGGGCTATCTACCTCTGCAGGGTTATTAAAACCAACATAATGGTTTACGGACCAACCAGAAAGGATACTTTAGTCCAGAACAGAGCTAGATTGAAAGTAAACTCTCCAGGTATATATACACAGAGAAGCAGGGTACACTTCTCGGGGTGTACCCTGTACCCTACCCTCAAATTACCGTTGAATACCCACCTGGAACTACACCTACAGGATGGACCACATGTCAACAAGAGTGCTGCACTGATTAATTATTGGAGAATATATTAATCCTGAAGACTCAGATTGTCGAAAGCTTCGCGTGGGAAGTAATTCAAGTTATGTAATGTATATAAACTATATTATCGTATTTTTATTTGATTTTATAAAGGCAAATGGGATAAAAAATATATTAAATTAATTATTTATGGCAACGCCGAGCGCGTGGGAAAAGGAAGTGCTGTTGCCAGCTGTGTCTTGATATCAACATGATATTCCCTCAGCTTAACCACTCTTGCTGATATCTTTTTATAAATGAAAGTTACATTTTATTGATAAATGGGATGATTTGTTATGAGGTAAATCAACATTGATTAGCGTCTGTACGGGTGATATTATATTTTGTGCTGGCATTGTAAGGCGCGTGGTCACCAGCATCTGGCAACACTGACACGCGTGGAGGTTCCCGCCAGCAGTTGGTCCTCAACACGCGGTGAGTTCGCGCGCGTGAGGCCTGAGTGCACGCGTCTCTCTTGTGTCTTCACTCTTGCACTCTGGGCTGTGTTCACTCCTAGATACTGTTTTGTGTTCACTCTCGCATCCTGGACTGTGTTACCTGCTGTTTCCTGAACTGTTAAAATGTGTACAATTTATAGTAGTTGTGTGTTGTATATGTTACTATAGTTTATAACTGATAATCTGAAAGTTAACTGTCTTCTGCAACAAGCTTTTATTGACAGTGTTGCATACAGGACATGGAGACAAGCTTTATAGACAGCTAAGGACAGTGCAGGCATTGCAATGTCAACCAGGATATTTGCAACTATCATTTGAGCAATGTTTCTCAAGTCAGATGTCTGTCAGAGCCGGACTCTAGCTCTTGGGTGCTGAAAATTTAATTGAATATTGTCTCCAATGGTAACTTCAATACACGTTTTGTACAAGAGATACAACATCGTAGCTGATTTACAGATACTAAAGGTAAGTTAAAGTTCTTAAACCACGTCTGCAATAGATAAGATATTGCCTTCAACTTCTTAAACCACATGGCAAACATCGAGTCGTTATTTTTCTAAAGGGTTTTAGCAAATGAAGGTTTATAGGCTCGGTGGAGACTTGGTTTAGAAATGGTAGAAGAGGTCGCGGGTGTGGTTCATTTTGGGTTTGAATAAGATGTTCAATCCGCAATCCGACCTGAAAGTTTGTGTTTATTCTCGGTGGGAGACGAACCTGGGAAGGTTTAACTGAATGTCTTGGCCATTTTGACAAGCGTCATATATGAAGATGAACCAGAAGCGTTTGAATTGGCAAGCTACCCAGTTTGTTTGAAGCACATGTTCGTCAGTGTTACGGGTGTTAGTAACTTCACTAAAGCACGAGCCGGTCGGCCGAGCGGACAGCACTCTGGGCTTGTGATCCTGTGGTCCCGGGTTCGATCCCGGGCGCCGGCGAGAAACAATGGGCAGAGTTTCTTTCACCCTATGCCCGTGTTACCTAGCAATAAAATAGGTACCTGGGTGTTAGTCAGCTGTCACGGGCTGCTTCCTGGGTGTGGAGGCCTGGTCGAGGACCGGGCCGCGGGGACACTAAAGCCCCGAAATCATCTCAAGACAACCTCAAGATAGCACTGAATGTTTAACGTAATCGATAGCGTTAAGACCTCCGTGCACTAAGTGTGAGGACAAGTGGAAGTTTTGGTCAAGGCCAGAATTCATTAAGCATTTACGAAACCTGTTCATCTCGCCTCAATCATGCCAGTTTCATTTACATTTATTCAACAGTTTGCGGGCTCCGAGGTTGTTTATAAGAATGGCTTGGCCCTGGGAGTTTAGTTACTCGAACGGTGTTTAATAATTGTCACCAAAGCCGTCATGATTGAGGAAAGATGTACAGGTTTCGTTAAGCGGTTGCGTAAATAATGGCTGAATCCTGCCCCCTAGTCTTCTCGTCGATTCTCTGATAATTAACGTTACAGGTCCTGTTTATACTCCTGTACCCTCCGGTGTACACCTTGGGAATGATTGAAGCGTTTGTTTAAGGGAAGAGGGGGGGGGGGAGTGGTGGTTGTGCCTCTTACTGGTGTACTTTGTGTGTGTGTGTGTGTGTGTGTGTGTGTGTGTGTGTGTGTGTGTGTGTGTGTGTGTGATTGGTCAAGGAGGGAGTGATTTGGGCATTAAAGGGGGAGGGGGTGTATGTGTGTGTGTGTGTGTGTGTGTGTGTGTGTGTGTGTGTGTGTGTATATATATGTCGTACCTAGTAGCCAGAACGCACTTCTCAGCCTACTATGCAAGGCCCGATTTCCGTAATAAGCCAAGTTTTCCTGAATTAACATATTTTCTCTATTTTTTTTCGTATGAAATGATAAAGCTATTCATTTCATTATATATGAGCTAATTTTTAAATTTTTTTAGTTTAAACTAACGTAGATATATGACCGAACCTAACCAACCCTACCAAACCTAACCAAACTAAATCAATAATTTATGTTTTTAATATAATATAATAATAATAATAATTAAAATAAACCAGTAGGAAACAATTTATTGAAAATAAAGAAAATCTCTCGGCCTATTAGGCAAATCGGGCCTTGCATAGTAGGCCGAGAAGTGCGTTTTGGCTACTAGGTACGATTATATATATATATGTCGTACCTAGTAGCCAGAACGCACTTTTTGGCCTACTATGCAAGGCCTGATTTGCCTAATAAGCCAAGTTTTCCTGAATTAATATATTTTCTCAAATTTTTTTCTTATGAAATGATAAAGCTACCCATTTCATTATGTATGAGGTCAATTTTTTTTTACTGGAGTTAAAATTAACGTAGATATATGACCGAACCTAACCAACCCTACCTAACCTATCCTAACCTAACTTTAGAGGTTAGGTTAGGTACCCGAAAAAGTTAGGTTAGGTTAGGTTAGGTAGGTTAGGTTGTCGAAAAACAAATAATTCATGAAAACTTGGCTTATTAGGCAAATTGGGCCTTGCATAGTAGGCTGAGTGCGTTCTGGCTACTAGGTACGACATATATATATATATATATATATATATATATATATATATATATATATATATATATATATATATATATATATATATATATATATATATATATATCTAGCTGGAAGAAGGGGGACCCATAGCCTCGGAGGAAACCACGCATAACGCATTAGAGGGAATGTTTAGATCCCCTCCAATACAGTTTCTGTGTGCTTTTCTCCTACCACCCCCTTCCTTTTTTATTTTTTGTGCTTTATTATGCATTTGATGGTTACAAGATATACATGGGTTGATACAAAAATAATAATGCAAAAAGGTGCTTAAAGGTTATGGATATCTTGAAAAACACAACAATGGGAAACATTGATGAATGTCACAGACGGGTTCGATCATTGTTGCAAGTCAAACACTTCTTCGAATTCCTCTGAAATTGGACTAGTGCCCAAGACGCAACAGGCATTTCCCCTCTGAATCGCAACACTGAGGCGCTGGAACAAGAAACTTTTTGCTCTCTGGTCTTTTGTAGCGCTGATCAATTTGTCCCCCAATTCCTTCAGGAACTTCAATGCACATTTTCCCCACGAACCGAGGGTCTCCGAGCCGATCGGAACAAAGCTGTAGCAGTGTGCTACATATATATATATATATATATATATATATATATATATATATATATATATATATATATATATATATATATATATATATATATATATATATATATATATATATATATATATATATATATGATGCAAAATTGTATATATATATATATATATATATATACACATTATATATATATATATATATATATATATATATATATATATATATATAATGTGTGTGTGTGTGTGTGTAAATCACGAAAATAAACACGATTAAAAATGTGACAATGTCAGACCACGGAGGAAAAATGAAACAGGAATTTCCTTAAGTACTTTCGTATATTAATACATCTTCAGAAGGAGTGATGACACTGACACTCCCTCCTGAAGATGTATTAATATACGAAAGTACTTAAGGAAATTCCTGTTTCATTTTTCCTCCGTGGTCTGACATTGTCATATATATATATTTTTTATTTAATGTGCGTAATGTACGAAAGATTGAGAAAATTCGTGTTAGAATTATTAATCTTACTTTTTCGGTCATATTTAATAATATATGTCTACAGGAAAGACTGCTACCAAAATATACTAATATATATATATATATATATATATATATATATATATATATATATATATATATATATATATGCAAACAAGCCTGAATGGTCCCCAGGACTATATACAACTGAAAACTCACACCCCAGAAGTGACTCGAACCCATACTCCCACAACTGGTATGTACAGGGACGCCTTAATCCGCTTGACCATCACGACCGGACAAAGGAAGTGATAGCCGAGGCGATATGAACCACGTCCCCGCCGGCACTCGGATGGCAATCTTGGGCATAGCATTTTATCAAATCACCTCATTCTTTGGGGCACACGTGAGGAACACAAATGCAAACAAGCCTGAATGGTCCCCAGGACTATATACAACTGAAAACTCACACCCCAGAAGTGACTCGAACCCATACTCCCACAACTGGTATGTACAGGGACGCCTTAATCCGCTTGACCATCACGACCGGACAAAGGAAGTGATAGCCGAGGCTATATGAACCACTTCCCCGCCGGCACTCGGATGGCAATCTTGGGCATAGCATTTTATCAAATCACCTCATTCTTTGGGGCACACGTGAGGAACACAAATGCAAACAAGCCTGAATGGTCCCCAGGACTATGTGCCCCAAAGAATGAGGTGATTTGATAAAATGCTATGCCCAAGATTGCCATCCGAGTGCCGGCGGGGAAGTGGTTCATATAGCCTCGGCTATCACTTCCTTTGTCCGGTCGTGATGGTCAAGCGGATTAAGGCGTCCCTGTACATACCAGTTGTGGGAGTATGGGTTCGAGTCACTTCTGGGGTGTGAGTTTTCAGTTGTATATAGTTCTGGGGACCATTCAGGCTTGTTTGCATTTGTGTTCCTCACGTGTGCCCCAAAGAATGAGGTGATTTGATAAAATGCTATGCCCAAGATTGCCATCCGAGTGCCGGCGGGGAAGTGGTTCATATAGCCTCGGCTATCACTTCCTTTGTCCGGTCGTGATGGTCAAGCGGATTAAGGCGTCCCTGTACATACCAGTTGTGGGAGTATGGGTTCGAGTCACTTCTGGGGTGTGAGTTTTCAGTTATATATATATATATATATATATATATATATATATATATATATATATATATATATATATATATATATATATATAGTTGAATATGACCGAAAGGGTAAGATTAATAATTTTAACACGAATCCTCTCAATATTTCTTATGTTTTTCTTCACTGTCGGGAAAAGAGTTAATAAAATTATAAAAGATAATTTTATAAAGAGAGCTAATAAAATTCTCTCTCCGAAGCTCATTTTTACACTTGTAATTTTGCTCTAGCGCCTAGGGATGCGTTTCGCAAGGTCACTCCTTACATTCTCAAAGACTAATTTACCATGTAATTGTTTAAGATTCGCTACTTGGAACAAACAGTTCCAAGTAGCACGGGCTATGGTGAGCCCGTTGTGGACTTACCTGGCAGAGGAGCGGGGCTGTGATTTACCATCCCTTTGCACAGGCTTATCTTCTCATTGGGTGAGGTGGTATAGAATAAGTCGATGAAACAAATGGATGAATGGCATAACATAGGGGGATATTTATAGGGTATTACATGCATCAACACAAGCAGCTGATGCTCTTGCTGCTGCTTGTGTGTCTAAGGCAGAGTCATTGGGTCCTGTCTCTGTGTTGGCTCGGGGTCTTGAAGTGGGTTGGAGGTAATTATGTCTTAAGTGGTTGTTGATTGATGGTCATGACTTTTTGATGTGTAGTGCCTCGCTCATGTCCAGTCTTCCGTTGACGTTATACCTGTCAATTATTTCAGTGAT